AAAGGTATTCAGACTCCATCCTACTTTCTCCCTTGTCTGCGTGCAAGGGCAGCTCTCTAGTCTCATTGTATGACTACTGTTCCCCCTCATCTTCTTTCGCAGTTATGGATGCAGGAGCACCATAGGGAGTGGGAGCAAAAGGACCTTTCACCCTGTCCCTGCGCATCCACTTGTGTGCTGAACCCTTCATAGCTGACCAGTCCATCCTGGCTGCAGACATTTTCTCTTTTACACAATGAATGAGGCAGCGCAGTAATTTTATGCAAATCCATGTGCAGATTAAAAAATTAATCAAATTCTGAAATTTTCATTTAAAGAGATTAGTCTTGAAAAATCCCCCATCTAATCCTCCCAGAACAGTCACTTGGAACAAACCTTCACTGCTTTGTTTTCCTCCTGGGTTCAGTGCATCTCCTGGAAAATTTTCTCGTAATGCTTTTGGGACCATCTGGAGCAGCAAGTTTGAGTTTGAGCAGGGCTCACCAGGCAAATTAAAGTTGATATATCAAATGATAGAAAAGATGTGACAGTAAGTGGGAACAGGGGAGTTTAAGGCAGTACAATCTCTGCTCTGTTGTACTTCATAGGTAAATTCCCATGGTGAGGCATGAAAAATGGAAATGGTGAGCCTTGGTGGGCCTAACAGTAATTTACGTACCAAGAGGCCAGAAGAAAGTCATGCAGCAAGAAAAACGAGTAGCAAGAGACACTGCTAAAACTTGCTATGTCTGGTAGTTTACTACTGTAACAAAGATGTAATCTGTCTTTAGAGCTTGAGCTCAAAATTATCCTGGAACACTTGGGGTTTGATCCAGTGCCATCACAAATATTTTCCAAGCCCCTCAGGGATTTTGGAGTTGACCCTGTACATGGTGGGCCAGCCACCAACCACTGCCACACTAGAGGGAATCCAGAGAAGTCCTGATGACATTAAAAATAAGCTAACTTAGGCCCCTGAAGATCTCAGTTCAATTAGACATCCTGAAGCATTAATGTACAGCATCCTCTGATCTTGCAGCACCTGAAATGCTCAGGACGTGTGACTGGGTTGGCCTGCAGCAAGCCCAGTTGCCCCAGCTTCAAGAAAACCACAAGCTCATGATGCAAACCCTTGTACAAACCTCCAACCACAGCCCCTGGAATAGCTCAGCTCTGCCCAGCGATGGCAGGCTGGCTTCTAGAAGGGAATATTTTTCTGGCTTTCAAATACTTGCCATGGAGTGAGGTGTTGGTTCATTTTTCTCACTGCATGGGCATGGCCAGCTCATTTGTTCACTGTTTTCCTCCCCAGTGTGACTCCAAGTTTATGGCTCAGACTATACCGCCCTATGTCCATGCTTTTGGTCTCATGCCACTATCCAGTTTACCTGGCAGCTTACCACATTTCTGCCCAGTGGTGGTTGTTTCTGTCTCCTTCTGACTTTGGCTCTTTGCCTGCAGAATTGCTTTAATTAAAAAGTTAATGAAAGGTAATGCAAACAAGCACTTTGCCTGTATTTTATCACAGTCCAGCTCCTTTCTCTCCCTCTTTCCCAGAGGAAGTGAAAATGAGGAGCTAGAGGTTTGCTGCTTTTTGTGGTGAGAGTTAACAGTGGACATATCTGCAGGCTTAGGAGGAGCCCTATGAAGATAGAATTTCTAATGGTAATGCATGCAAACAAATATGTAGATGGAGAACATTATTCGTCAATGAAAGCTGAAGAAGTTTTCATTTAAAGGGGATTAACCTAAACCCCTTATAGTATTCCTGTTGTCTTTGGAACAGGCAATTCTCAGCATCATTTTTCTCCCAGGCTTAGAGCAAACTTCTAGAAAACTTTTCAGAAGACTGTCTATACCCAAACTCCAAATTATTCTGAGCAGGGACAAAGAGAAAGTGTAAAACCTGAGCCCCACTGGTGCCTATAGTATGCCACCTTATATCCATATAGAAGAGGGCTCGTTCATCCCTATGTGATTTTCCTGAGAAACCGTGAAACAAAGATTAGTGCATGAAGCAACACGAGCCACTTCATCAGCCCCTTCATCAGCCCAGATTCCTCCCATCCAGCAGTGGGAAGAGGAAAATGCAGGGTTATGAGGCTGTAATTTCCCCATGTGCAATACACAGCAGCTAACTGGCAATAACATCATTTCTAGACCCACCATCCTGGAGGAAGCTTAAGAGCTGCCATTTGGATTATCTTTCTTTCCAAGGCTGCCTATGCTTTGGTGTGGGGTGATGTTCAGTTCTCTTGATTTTGTTTTTGAAGCCCTAGTAAAATGAGTAGGAGTTTTAATTTTTGTTAATATCTACAGTGGATTTCATAGCACTGATTTATAGCTGGTCCCTGGTGATGTTTAGTACCCAGTGCCTGAGACTGTATAAATAAATTACATAAAAAAGGATTTGTGGTATCATTAGCAGCACCCCCATTCCAGGGGGAGCCTCCAGTGAGCCTCTGTGTCTAATCAGAGCTGACAAGGAGCGGAGTTACATACTGAGACCTCCAAAGCTAATGGGCCTGTGCCAGATCCAGCTCCCTGTTGTGCTGGTGTAAAGTTGGATAACTTCTGACTGCAAGGGGGTTTTATACCAGATTTACTCTGTGTTTACACCTGTGCACTGAGATCAGCATCAGGAAGCATGCCCTAAAATCCTTAGAAGCAATGGAAAGATGTGTGCTGACTTCAACAGGCTCTGGATCAGGCCTTGATGGTTAAAATATAAGCTGAGTTCAGAGTGCAGAAAAGAAATTACATGCCTGCTATTGTAGTGAAATGCTTTCCAGAGCAAGCATTAGCAGTATGTACACGAGTGCCAGATGAATTAAGCTGGCATTTCTTTTTTTCAGCTCCAGTAGGAGAGGATTGCTTTTAAACAACTCACGCCTGCTGTGTCGTGTCTGGAGTCGGAGCTGAGCAGAGCCGCCGGCAGGGCATGTGTGACAGGAGCCGCAGTTGCAGGTCTGGTCGTGCTCAATTCCCCTGGTCTTCAGGGTCAGCCATGCACAGAAATATCAAGGCAGAGACAGAACCTGTTAAAAGCTTTGGGGATTATTTTTTTTAAACTCCCCTGGCTCCAGTTAAGCCTTTTTCTCCAACCACTTCTGCAAACCCTGTCTCACAGCTCAGACAAGGCAACCCTGGGGTGTGATGCACCTCTGTTTTGTAACACCTTTCTCTGATTGCACTGTGCTGCCAGGTGAATCAGAGACCTGCTGGGAGTGGAGGTGCTAATCTCAGTTCCTGAGAGGTGCACAGCTGAATTCACTGGTGTTAGCACAGTTATTCTGGCCCTCATTGTAAGAGGGCTGAGGATCTGTACTTTAACCTGCTGGCAGCATCAGCTGCTGTGAAATTTAAGAGTCTAGTCACAGAAGTGGTCAGGAACTCTGCCTTTTATTCCTTCTGATTGAAAAGCTAGTCCTTCTGGCCAGTATCTAAAGGGAGTATAGTCAGGTAGTTTATATGCTTTTGGGTTTTACCTTTAAAATCTCCTAAGCATTGAATCATTTACAATTAGACTTGATCTTAAGGGTCTTTTACAACTTAAATGATTCTTGGATTCTTTTTTCTCTGGCAAACCTATGCTTCTCCATATAGTTTTACCTGCAAGTCCTTTGTCTGTTAGATTTCAGAGTGTGTCCAAATTTTATTGCCTGAGAAGGTGCTTGCACAGAGGTTTTCACAAAGCCTGTGGGTCCTTGCAGCGAAATAAGGTGGATTTAGACCCAGAGAAGCTGTTGGGAAGCTTGCCTGGCTTAATGATTAACACCTTGCAGTGCTATGAGAGTACTAGGACAAAGAGACCTCTGGACTCATGAGCTCTCCCAGAAGACAGCCACTGGCCTTGCACTGAAACACATCCATTTACTAGAGGGAGGATTAACACTCTCAGGTAATTTGAATGGGTCTGTGATCAAGCGTGTTGCTAGGCTGCTTCAGCCTCCTGGCACCCTGTCTTAATTGCCAGCACCATAATTACCATGAGCAGAAGAGATGCAGATTGGAAGTATCTTTGATCCTGAGAAAGCAGCACTGAACTTGCTGCCAGTTAACAGAAAGAAGAGAAATGCTGGGAGGGAATAGATGCATGTGTGCTGGCAGGGGCTGTCTCCTCTGTCAAGACAAGTGCCTGCCCTTGAGCAGTTGAGATCTTTCTGTCCACATGCAGATCTGTTGTATATAATGCTAATACTCACTAGAGACTAGCTCAAATAGGCTTTTGCAGACACGGCTGGAAACTTTGCCTGATCTGAGGTCTTATTTGGGCTTTAAATGTGATTTTAATGGATAATAGAGGACTAAAAAATAAAGGCAAATGAAGCCTTGTGTTAATTTGCTGTTTGGTTGGGAAACCTCATTGCTTGTTTCTCTCTGGCCACCAGCAGTAAGGGATCAGGCAGCCAGCAAGCCTGTTGTTTCTCCTAAGTCCGTGCCTGATGCTGCAGGGACACATGGGGCAATGTGCAGCCAGAGAATGACATCAGCATTTGGCTGGCATGAGGAGGGGAATTAACGTAGCACAAAGCTGTTCCACGCAGATGCCCTGCTCTCTCCAGGACAGAGAACATCTTCCACAGTTTGGAAAGGCATCAAACACTGAGCAAACAGAAATGATGGCTTGCCAATGGCAAATGTACGGTGATGGAGAGGCTGGCTGGCAGGGCTCACCTTCCCTGTGGGAGGTGATGGGATTGCAGGGAACCACAAGCTGACAAGTAGTTTGAATGTGACACTGCCTTTGCCTCCCACCTGACTGGGGAGAGGTTTGAAAGTGCTGTTGATATAGCACCTTAACCTAGGTGTAACAGGAGCTAGAGCTCCATGGTTGATGTTTTGTCCTCCCTGCTCTCTCTGTGTCAGCCCTATCTATTCTGCTAGCAAAAATGCTCACTTTCTTTTGCAGGTTGGAGGGTGCCAGCAGCCTCAGCTCTTGAGGCCTTGCCAGTGTTAGCAGAACGTGTCCAAGCCCACCCCACCGGGCAGATCAACTCAGCCTGGCCACCCTGTGCAGCATGTCCCTCCACGAGCATGCACTGTCCCTCTTCCGCAGTGCAGTGGGCACTGTCAGACCAGCTTCAATGCTGAAGAGGGCTCTGAAGCTCCAGGAAGATGGGTGCCCTCAGCTGCTGGTGAAGGGCAGGGCCTTCCCAGTGAAGAGGAACCTGTACCTAGTAGGTTTTGGCAAAGCTGTGCTGGGGATGGCTGCGGCAGCAGAAGAGATCCTGGGAGACCACCTCGTTCGGGGGATCATCAGTGTGCCACTAGGCATCCAGGAGAGCCTGCAGCGAGCGGGAATGCAGTAAGGGGGACCGTGACTGGACATTTTTTTTGGGAAGGCTGACAGATTTATCCTCTGTGGGATGTTGCTGTGACCCCTTCAGTCCTTTCCAGCTGCTCTTGCTCTGGTGCCCACCCCATCCACCACACCACACTGGTCTTCAACCATCATCACATCCCGGTGACACCAATAATACAGCCCATCTCTTGTGCTGGATGCGCTGCCTCCTCAGGCCTGGGGAGAAGACATTCAGCAAAAGCCAGCTCCATGTCCTGGTCACTCACTGTGTACCTCTGGTGCTGCACGCCCATTTCCCTGCTGAGTGAGAGCCTGGCTGCCTGTGTAGGTGCCCATGTCAGTGGTGTGATTGCCTCTCTTACCTCACCAGGGAGATGCTCCTGAAGCCACACAGCAAAATCCAGGTCATCGAAGGTGCAAAGAACAACCTCCCAGATGCAGAGGCTCTGAAAGGAGCAGTTGCCATCCAGGAACTGGCAGAGGGTCTGACTGCAGATGACCTGCTCCTTGTACTCATTTCAGGTAGTGTGGGGATCCCACGAAATGGGCTCTGCAGGGGGCCCTCCAGCTGCCTGCCCACATGGGAGCACTGTGCTGTGCCATCCCTTTCAGCACTGACAGTTGCACCTCTGTCATTTCCCTTCTCCTGCCAGCATTTCTCCAGGGATGCAGCAGGGGAGGGCATGGAGCTGCCTGCTGCTGCAGTGGACGTGCTGCCTCCCAGCACTGGCTGCACAAGCTGGGTCCTGAGGTCACGCCACCCCTATGAGATGACACCTCTGGGCACAGCCTGCCAGCTGCTCTCACCCCTTGGCAAGAAGATGCTTTCTTCCTGCCCCCTCCTTCTATCTGGGGATACAGACTTGGAGAAACAAGCACTTGGTAGACTTGCATGCTCCAAATTTGTATATGGGTGCAAGACTGTAAGCTGAGATGTGAGACTTACCCTTCCCAGGGCTTTGCTACTTCCTGGCCAGTGGAAACAAGGCCCCCAGGTTCCAACACAATGAGCTACACACCTTGCAGGGTTAGCCCTGAACACCTCCAGGCCCTGTCTGCTGGGTCCAGGGCTGTGCATTAGAGGGATGCAGTGATACTCACCCCAAACTGAGCTCAGCTGGGTAAGTGGGTGCCACAGGTCAAAACCATGCAGGGGCTTGGAGCAGCTCTGGAGAAACCCCTTGGTCTCTGCTCAGTGACTGTTCCTCTGTGAATGCTGGAGCCTGATCTGGTGCAGAGAGAGTAGTGGCACTAGGCAAACACCCAAGCAACTGGAATCTAGCTGCACTTGCTGGGCTTCCTCCTGTTCTTTGGCTACAGGAATCTCCAGGAGACTCCTCAGCCCTTCAGGGAGTCTGTACAGGATCTCCCCGTGGCTGCGACTCCCTATGCATGTGCACTCCCACACAGCAGCCGGTCCCCAACTGCTCCTGCCTCTCAGCTAGATCCCTGGTTATTGACTGAAACACAGGCATTTGCATTTGTTTTTCTTGCTCATCATGTTTTATTGATGCTGGTTTGTCTCAAACCTCCGAGCAGGCTTTTTGCCTTTTGACAGTGGCTTTCAGCTGTACTTCTGTGCATGCTCATTCTCTGCTCAGATCTTGCTCCTTTCTCTTTGTATTTTCCATCCATTCCACTTTTCCTTTGGAACCTACCTTCTTTCTGCATTTCCCATGCCTGCTTGTGTCATATGACTCACTAGTAGCTTGATGTAGTGGGGATAAGTAATTGGTGGCCCTTCTTTGTTGTCCCCTCACCACTGCAGGCATGCAGCGAGGTTTACACTGCCCAGATGAAATGTATCTGACTGCAGGCAGTGCAGGACAACTGTGATTAAAACCCATCAGTGAAGACTGAATTCTCCAGAGATGTTAGCATCGTCTCCAGTGACTTTTTGCCTTCTCTCTATGCACTCATGAGGGAAGAGGAAAGGCCCAAGCATTGAACAGCCTTGCTTTCATTCTGTCCTGTCCTGCTATCCTGACGTCCTTGCCATCTCTTCTGCATCCTAGGGGGTGGATCAGCCCTACTGCCTGCTCCCATTCCTCCCATCCTCCTCAAAGAGAAGCAGAAACTCACAAAGATGCTGGCTTCCCAAGGAGCTGCCATACAGGAGCTGAACATTGTCCGGAAGACTCTGTCCTTGCTGAAGGGTGGGGGGCTGGCCCGACTCTCATATCCTGCACAGGTAATGGAGGAGAAGCCCCTGCTTGCACAGAGATCACCCATCAGCCCCTGAAATAGGGGTTTAATCAACTGACCTAAGCAGTTGGAGGTTTTTATCCTCACTGAGCAAACAGCCTTTACACACTGTTATGGTACTCTGGCTCAGATTTCACCAAGCACCCAAACTCTCAGGGAGACAGAGATGAAAGAGGCAAATGTCAGACTTGGCATATGTTAGCTGTCCCAGCACACCACTTTCAGCAGACCCCAGCCCTCATGGAGCAGGCACTTCCAATGTGCTGGTGCTCCACCACAGTCCCTTTGAGGCAGAGTCCAACCTGTGGCTCCCCAGGGGCTGTTCTCAGCACATGCCATTGCTGAACCCACACTGGGTTATAAGTGCACTGACAAGTGCAGTGACACAGGTTACATCTTCTGATATGATGGTCCAGCATCAAAGGATATTGTAGAGTTGTGGGTTCAAGGGCAAGGTGACACTCACAGGACCATAAACCAAAAATGGTCCAAGATCTACCCATTTCCATCTACTTTGACATGAGGGTGGCACAGATGTAAGTCAGAGCAGCACTTATGCCAGGGCTCTTGCATGCTCTGCCTCCCACAATAATCTGTGGGCATTTCTTTTTGCAGGTAGTAAGCCTCATCCTTTCTGATGTGATTGGTGACCCCCTGGACATCATAGCTAGCGGCCCCACTGCTGCCAGCTCCCACACTCTCCAAGACTGCCTTCAGATACTCACCAAATACAACCTGCTGCGCAATCTGCCCAAGTCAGTGGAAACAGTCCTGTCCAGCTCTCCCACCAAGTCCACTGCTCCAGAAGACTTCTCCCATGTTTGCAATGTCATCGTCGGCTCAAACAGGCTGGCTCTAGATGAGGCCAAACGCCAAGCTGAGGGCCTGGGCTACACCACGCTGGTTCTGAGTGCGGCAATCTGCGGGGATGTTGGCTGCGTTGCCACACTGTACTGCCAGCTCATCCAGCTGCTCTGCTTGGGCTTTGCTGGCTTTGGAGAAGGGCCCCAGGGTGACGAGGTGAGGCGGAATCTCCTGCAGCTGGTGGCAGAGCTACAGATCCCAGGTTTGGACCTTGCCAAATTTCTACAGGCCCTGCGAGGATTAGGGTCTAAAACACCAGTGTGCATCCTGGCCGGCGGAGAAACCACAGTCCAGCTCCAAGGAACTGGCAAGGGAGGGAGGAACCAGGAGCTGGTCCTGCGCGTGGGGCTGGGGCTGCACAGGGCACAGGCCATGGAAGCCAGCAGCTCCCCAGGGAGGTGTGAGATCATCTTCCTCAGCGGTGGAACAGACGGGCAGGATGGGCCAACAGAGGCAGCAGGAGCCTTCTGCAGCCCAGAGCTGGTGACTGAGGCGCTGCAGGAGGGCCTTGATGTGGAGGCTTTCCTCATCAACAACGACTCCTATACCTTCTTCAGCCAGTTCCAAGGTGGGCATCACCTCCTGGTGACAGGCTTGACAGGCACCAATGTCATGGATATCCAGGCCATTTTAATTAGAGCCATGGAGAGATCCTAAGAGCTCCCTCTGCAGATATCCAGATGCATTTAATTAGGACCAGGGGTAAAGGAAGGCATCAACACTGCAGACAAATGTAAACTTAAATTAGGTCTCACTTTTGAGGGTGCTACTATCTTTGACAGAAATAGTCCACTAATTAGGCACAGGAGTGGATGTCCACAGCAAAAGCAAGCACTTGTAATTGGGATCAGAGGGAGATAAGAGACTGCATTACAGACATGGAGGCCAGATTTAACACTGGTGCTGAGAGCCACCACTTTTGTGACTGCTTCAACTGTAGTTAAATGATGTGCGGAAATCCAGGCCATGGTAGGGCTGCCAGGGAGAGCCCTCACTGCGGCTGTTGCACCTCAAGAGCAGTGGGCTTGTTCAGGTTCACAGAAGTGCACTACAGCAACCAGAGAATGTAAAAGCAATGGCAAAGCCTGACCAGCTCAAGGCAAGGAGGTGCTGGGGGAACATGGTGGGAAGGGGAGACCCAGCACCTACTCCAGTGCCCTGCAGCTCCTCCCACACCAGCATACCTCACAGAGACCTCAAACCCAGCATGATGCATGCCAAGCAGTGTAGCTAAGGGACCTGTCGGCAAAGAAGTGTTTGGTACTGGACACATGACAAAAGCAGTGCATAGGACAGTGACAGAGGGTGGTGTACCTTCACTATGCAGCATAAGGATGGGGACAGCCGAGGTACAGTGGTGAGCCAGCTGAGTGGGGTCCTCCTCCTCCAGCCTCCTTTGCTCTGCAAGGATGTCTTCCCTGCTGATCCCTGTTGGGAGAGCCTCCGTGCCAGCAGCATGTGTGCTGTGAGGTTCCACAGTCTTGTTTTCCAGCTGCCTAGAAAACAGTCATGCATCAAGCCTGAGCCACTGACCTTTCTGCTGCACTGAGGCAGAAGTCGCTGTCACTCTGATTAACTCTGCTAATTCCACAGAACAAAAGGCAAGGAAACCTTCATGCTCAGCTCTCCTGACCCATGCTGCTGAGCTGATCAAAGGGCAAAGCTGCTGGAGCTGTGCTCTGACAGGGAGCTGCTCCCCCACACGTATAAGGATGAGGTGGTTATCACAGTTTCATCACCTACTGCAGCATGTATGTGGGAGAGCAGAGATGAGCTGGGTTTCCCAGGACATGGAGCCCACAGTGGGGCTGGATTTCAGAAGGGTTCTGCCTGTAGCAACAGGCACAGTGATGGTTTTGGCTGGATATTCAAAGGACTTCAGCTCAGCAGCCAGTATGACCCAACACGTCTGACTCTGAATGTCTGCCTGATTGTTACAGAGCCTAAGTGGGAGCTTGCCTCCTTTGAAAATCCAGCCCTAACTTAATAGGACACGCTTGACTCAGGCTCTTTCCAGGCTCTGTGTGGCTGATACCATCTCATGACATAAATACACTGTCACGCCAACACCATGAGTCGTGGTGTCTTACTGCAGTCATTCTGTGCCCTGCTCCAAGATGGATTGGAGGGTGGATTTGAGGAGGATGCAACACCTCCTGCTTTGGTTTCGAAGCCAATCTCTAACAAGTAGGGATATCAGCAGGACCGTCATGGGGCCTGGTACTGATGCCAGGCTGGCAGCTGGACTGTCTGGGCCACAGCCCAGGCACAGTGTCAAGGCACAGGCCTGGGGATTTCAAAACCCTGGTCTTATCCCAGTGAGTTAAACTCATCCACACGTCTCATTTGTCCCGTGAGTCTGAAGGTCTTCTGTAACATGCCAGAACTTGCTCATGCTGGCAAACAGCTTTGAGATTTGCTGGGGAAAACCTGCCAAGTGTGATAGAACTCACTGTGCCCCTGTGATGTCAGGTGGTGATTGCTCAGGAGAAGCTGCTTTGTGCTGTGTGTTTTTCTCCAGAGGTTGCTGGCAGGTCACCTCCTCCGTGCCCAGCATGCCAGCACTGTGGGGCACTAACGTGCACTGATACAGCCAAGAAATACAGGATGCAGCCAGGATAATGGGCTAAAGCTGGCTCCAAAATATTGTTAATGCTTCCTGCCCAGTTCTGCTCCAGTGAAATCCAGTGTGACTCCAGTTGTGGCCTAGCATGCCTGGCACAAGAGTTGCTGGCATCTCCAGCCAGTCTGGGCATGCTGTCACAGGGCCACCATACCCTGTGCTCTGTGCCCTGCCTCGTTGCTGAGCACTGTGCTAGTCCTTGGAGCTGCTGTTTGTGCAGCATCCCTTGGCAAATCCAGAAGACCTTGGGCTCCTGTTTGCTGGCTTCTCCTGGGAAACGCCTACCACATGTACCCTGTCCTTCCCTTCAGAGCAGTGGGTTTTCACTAATGATTAAAAAGAGTTTGTGCTGGGGAGGAAAAAAGGCTAATGAAAGGTTTGTTGAAAGGATGAAACTGTTTGAAGTGCGCTTCACATCTGCATTTGCCTGGCCTCCATATACAGTTTTTGTTCTTGTCCTCTCTTCTAACAAGGGGGTAAGAGGACAAGGGGAGGTTGACCAAGAACACCCAGGTTACCAAAACATTTTTCTTCTTCTGATGGTTCTGCCTAGATAGATTGAAACTCCATTTTGGAGGGCTTTCTTGGGTGAACCCTGTGCATCTTCTACCTAGGGAGGAAAGGAGCTTTGGGCTGTATGCGCCCCACATAAGCAAGGCACAGGTTTATTCCTGTGGTCAATGTGCAGCACAGAATTGCCTATTACTGCTCCAGCTGAGGGCCAGCTTCCTCTGCCCTGCAGTCCCTTTGCTGACAGCAAAACACCCTATGCATGAGCCAGCACACATTTGGGCTACACTGGTCAGGATTTGAGATAACAGTTGCATTTGAAGACATAACAGCATTGCTTACCTGCCAAGTAATGATGCACCTCTGGGCTGTCAGAGCCTGCCAGCAGCAATGAGTTTCTCATTGGGAACTTGAGTGAGTCACAGCAGCTGAGCAGGGCTTTGGGCTTGCTGCACTGTCCTGGATGGGATATTGGCATCATGTGAGTGTACCCAGGCAAATGAAGAAACCCAGAGTGCAACTGTGGTCACACACACCGAGGGGCTGCAACGTTCAGGCTGTGCTGGAACCAGCTCTGTGCCATCCCAGCTCCAACATGCTTGTGCCTAGGGAGACGAGTCACAGACAGAGTGAGGACAGTAAGGGCTGCTTGGTTTGGATGCTCTCAGTCCCTTCCCTCTTTAATGGAAGGCCAATACTCTACACAAGCCAGCCTCCAGGAAGGAGGGAGATAGAGGAAGATGGGTGGAGATGGCCAACAGCTCCCTGGCAGGAGACACAGGGGCTACCACTGGGGAAAAGCACACCCCACTGCTTGGCAGGGAGCAGGGGAATAAACCGCAGGTGTGTTTGGGGTTGATGTGCTCCCCTAAGCAGACTGCTCACAGCTAAACGGTGCTAATGGCCAGGACATGTAACGTCATTAACAGCACGGGCTTTTGTCAGTAAATTAAAAATCCTGGCTGCCGCCCTTGGCTCTGCTCTTGCCTCTTAGGAGACATTAGTATCACAGCTCCCCAGCATTCCCATTATCACTTCATTAAGGATCCAATAATGATAGATGTGGATGGTTTTATTTTCACGGAGCCTGATTAATGGCTAATATTTCACTAGGTGTTAAGGGGGTCCTTCCTTTATGGAGGGCTGGAAGGGGGCTGCCTTTCATCTCCACAAGCCACAATTCTCACTACTTTCGCTAATGTGACAGATTTAACGCAAACCTTGAAAGAGCGGCTGGAGCCTCTTGAGAAACTTTGAAGAGCATTGTTCTTGGGGCAACACTTGCTGCTGTGGCCATTCCCAGCCTCCTTTCTCCTCCTTTTCTTCCTTCTCCTCTTCCCATGTCCTGCCAGCAGCATCTCCTTCCAGTGTCTGCACCCAGATGCTGTCACCCATCTCCTGGGATAGTTCTGGTGCACGATCAGGCCTGCCCTTGCAAGGTGGTGCAATGCAACAAGTAGGCTTGTAGTGGCCTCACCCCAAAGCATCTTGGGACCCCTTACCTGCCCCCCATGAGGGCTGGGGTGCAGGACAGAGCCCAGGCTGAGGCCAGCAGCCCTCCTCCAACACCCCAGGATATGGCTTCAGTGGCTTCCCCGAGGCTGGCTCCATGGCACAGGGGCTGTTCTCCGCTGTAGGACCCCGGCGTATTGCACGGCTTCAATCCCTATATGAAGTGGGATGTATAATCACATAGGAATAAAAAGCCATACAAGACAGCAGGCTGCAAGTTGCTCTGTGCTGGCCAGTCCCTCTGCAGCACCTGCCACAGACCCTGCTGGGATGGGGCTGGGCGCTGGGGAGCCCCCCGCAGTCCCTGTGCAGGGTCTATGGGGAGACAGAGGAGCCCTGCATCGAACAGAGAAGAGAGTCAATGTTTCAGCCAGGAGGAAGCACGGGAGGCCCCAGAGTCACTGGAGAGGGAGCCCTGTGGGGTGTCAGCACTTGCTGCCAGCTAATGGGGGCCTCCCACCCCAGTCCTCTCCTTGGAGCTGAGACAAGACTTACCCTGCAGTACACCCACCCTTCTCCCTTCTGCCCATCCCCATCTCAAAGCATCACCCTCCAGGGGCTCCTCCAGCGTGGGGATTCTGCTTGCTAACACCATTGTCCCCAGGGCTTTATCAGGTCCATCAAGGCAACTCCCACCACCATCAGAAACACCTGGTGCGGGGATTGAAAAGGAGCCAGCCCCCTTCCTGTGGTGGTTGGAGCATCCTCTGCTGTCTGACCAAAGATTGCCCAGCAGGTTGCAGGGAGCTATCAGGGCACAACCCCGCTGGCAGCCCATTAGAGCAGCTCCTGGCTGCCTGCAGGAGCTCTTGACAGGGGCCAGGCAATGGCGTGAGCACAGATCCTCTGCTGGGAAGGTAGACGTGGGTGGAATGGAGCCAAGGCGCTGTTGCCTGATGAACATTTACCGAGCAGCCTTTTTTCAGTGCAAAACCAGGAGGGTTTGGCTGTCCACCTGCTCCAAGAGCTGTGAAGAGGCAAGGGCTGAGCCACGGTTTGGGAGGATGGAGGG